ATAGCTTTTTAATCTACTCATCTACTGATGGATACTTGGGCTGTTTCCAGATCTTAGCTATTATAAATAGTGCTGCGGGAACCGAACCTGGGACTCTTTGGTCTACAGGCTGATGTTCCAACCGCTGAGCCAAACCGGCCAGGGCCTTTCAGCTTTCTTAGATATATTCCTAGCAATGGGATCACTGGTTCAAATGGTAGTTCCATGGCTGGTGGGAATGCAGACTGGTGTAGCTACTGTGGAAAACAGTGGGGCTCAGTGGTTGAACATCGACCATGCAGCAAGAGGTTGCCAGTTTAATTCCCGGTCAAGGCACATGCCCAGATCGTGGGCCAAATCCCCAGTGGAGGGGGTGGGGAGTGGATGTAGGAGGTGGCCAATCGATGTTCTCTGTCATCGATGTTTCTATCACTCTCTTCCTTTCCCTTTCTCTCTCTCTAAAATCAATAAAGAAAAAAAATAAAAGAAAAAGAAAACTGTGGAGTTTCCTCAAAAAAAAATTCATAGTTTTTTGTTTTCTTAATTGACTGAAAACCAAACAGACAGGCACCAGATAGCCAAACATATAAAGCTCTGCAGTTTTCCTTTGACCATACTGTGCAGAGGACCCAGAGTTGTATGTTGACAGACTGGGGAGATGGATGTGATATATAAGGGTTCCAGTCAGTTTCCTCAAGGGAAGAAGTGGTTACTTACCCGGGACACAAGTTCTTCCAGGGCCTGGCAGAGCATTTGGCAGAAGGTGTGAAGGACACATTTCTCAGAGCTGTTTTCTTCCCCTGTGTTTGAAGCTCAGCCTGGTAGCAGCTATCAAGGGTCTAAAGGAGCAGCTCTGTTGACACCGGTGGTCTTAGAATTAGAATGTTTTGGTTTGCTTATTTAACCAGTGACTTCTGTCCAAAATAAGGTCTGTCACTACAACTTTCATTGAGTCTCCAAAGACATTGGATGATACTTTTTTCTGTTGTGAAAGCATATTTTTAATGGCAATTTATCCTCATTTGTTGTGCTGACAATGAAATAAAAAAGCCAGAAATATTATCAGAGCACCCGAATCCTTGTCTCCTGACTTCTGTTTTAGTGATCTTTTAGAAAACAGAAGTCACGGGGAAAAGTAAAATTAAAAGAGCATGGGCCATATTTCTAGCCAAAACTGAGGTTGGATTGAGGACAGATGGTTGGTAGGTCAAAAGTCACTGGTTTATCTCTCTGAGGTCTAGGTATCTCTAGTGGTGAGCAAGATCATTTGAGTCAAATGTTATAGATTAATAACTATATGGTTTATTTTAAAGTGTTAGAAGAACACACAGTATGACTTCATGGGTATTATCACTTAGGATGGGACCAGAGTAATAGCACATGTTAAAAATGAGTTTAAGACAACAGTAGGTAAATAATAGAATAGCTGTCTGCAGCTAGGGCTGAGCTGGTAATGAAGAGAACTTGTTTACATGATTTAACTCACTGAATCCCTCCAACAGCCCAATGAATTAGGTACCACTGGGGTTTAGAAAGGTAAAATGTGGCCAATAAGTGGCAAGTCAGGATTCAAACCCAGTCTGATTTGGAGCATGAGCTCTCATTTCTCTACTCCACTGCCTCTTGAAAACAAAACAAAACAAAATAAAATAAAAACCCCACACCTCAGCATACTGAGGGAACCTGAGTGGGCCTCTGTTTTCATATCTATAAAATGGAATTGAGCATAGGGAGAGGCCTCTTCAGAGGCAACATGTGTTGGCCTGGATTTGCCATGTGACCTTGACCCCAGCCCTCCCCCCCGCCCCCAACCCTCTGCAGGATTTGGCTTCCGTGAGCTCTCCCGGTGTCACTCACAGCTCAGTTGGGCTCCATGGAATCCAACCCTCTGCTTGGTTTGAGGCATAGCCCCCAAGTTCTATGATGCCCAGCAGCATCTGACATTGGACAGACTTCACGGCATCAGAGCTCAAGGACACCCACCTTCCTGTGCTCCGAGTTGAGCAGAGCCTTGCCTGACAGGCCAAGCTGTGGGATTTGAATTCCAATAGCAGTGGACTATCCCTGAACAATTTAAGCAAGAGGGTGACACAATCAGATTGAGTTTTGACAAGGTCCCTCTGGCTGCTGGGTGGAGAACAGATTGGAGGGCAGCCAGGATGGGATGGGAAAGAACAGGAAAGCAGCTGTTGCAGATGTCCAGGCAACAGATGGCTTAGACCACAGAGGCTGTGATAGGGATGCAGGCAGAGGTGAGAGATATTTAACAGTAGTGGCTGGCTATGCACAGAGATGCTCAGATTTCTGGATTGCTGGTTGGGAGGATTGTGACAACATCACCCTGTGGAAAGCTTGGCTGGGAGTCCTTTCCTCCTTTACAGCACATTCTGGGAAAGGCCTGGCATATACCTTCTTTGCCTTGGTGATGAGAAGGAATGGTCCAGCGGGCACAGCTAACTGCTCCATCCTTCACCATTACTGGTAATCCTCCTCAGGGCGACATGGGCTCCTGCTGGGCCCTAATATAGCCATTTCTCTTAAAGGGAGAGCAAGGTCTGCTGGACACATGGTTGCAAATTGATGCAGGTAGCTCTGGAAGGAGGGAAGCTAGGGCTCAGTGAGACCAGTCCATGCAGTCACTTTCCTGAACATGGTTCTGAGCTTGCTGAGCAAGTGCGGTGTGCCTGACCTTTAGGCTGGGGACAACTCCTTAGTGGAGAGAACTGGTGGCCCCTGACAGTGAAGAAGGTGTAGGGTGGTCCTTAGAGGGCTCTCTTATGTCTCTGTATACCTTGGTGATATATGGCTTGTTGCAAAATATGTTGTTTGCTCTCATAGTTTGAAAGAAAGGGCCAACAAAGTAATTTTTGAAAAGGAAGTAAAAAGAGGCATGGCCAACAGAATAGCCAGTTGGATAGTAAAGTGGGTCTTAGCTCAGCCTAGGGTTCAGGGTCAAGGCTCAGCCTGGGTCAGGACTCAGTTTTGGCCCCTGCACACAAGTGCAAAGTTACAGTACCCTCCACACATACCTTATGTCAGCAGACACCCAGGCAGGAACAGGCCCTACCGTCATACCTTGTCCTTGATCTGTCTGATCTTATGTGGACTAGGGGATGCTCATCCTGCTCTTGTTTCTTGGGCTGCAGGCTGTTGTGGAGATAGGTATGCATGATCTCATCTCCTACAATAGCTGAGAAGGAGCTCTAGGATAGGCCCCTCTTTCAGATGTAGCCTGAGGCTCAGTTTCTCCTCTTCTGATGTCCCTTACCCCAGCTATGCTTCCCTCTGCCTGGACCAGGACCTGAAGCAAATGCAATGCTCCTGCCTGCATAAGGCCTGAGCTAGAGTTGATCCAGACAATCCAGCAAGTGCATGTTCACTTCTCTCCTTCCATTCATCCATCCATCCCTCCATCATTCCAGCATGTCATGCTGGCATTCCCAGAGGGCAGGAAAAAGTATGTGATAAAAATTTAATAAGACTAGACACCTGGATTTTGAGTATGAAGAGAAGTTTTGTGAGAAGTCTGGGACCATATTGCCAAAGGCAGGAGGGAGCCATTGAAGGTTTTTGAGCAGGAGAGGGGCATGGCCTGATTTCTACTGTTGAACAATCTCTCTGCTGTGTGGAGAGGGAGGTCAGGAACAGGAATCAAGGCAAGGAGGCTGTTATGGAGCCACAGCCTCCTCTGTGGGGATGGCTTAGAAGTCAGGGAAAAGAGAATTCTTATGCTCCAGATTGGTCTGTGTCACATGCCACACTCTTTGCTGCCTCGGTGCCTTTTAATATGCTGTTTTCCCTACCTGGAACATTTCCTCATGCTATCACAAAGCTGGCTTTTCCTCCTCCTGGCCTCAGACTCAGAGAAGCCCTCTATGAACTATCTAAACAGTTCCCCTTTGTTATTCTCTATGAAAGCACCTCCTTCTTATCCTTTACTTACCATAATTTATGGTCATATATTAGTTGTTCCTTATCTGCTTTAGTCACCTGTATATTACTGGCTGTCTAGCTCTGTGCTTGACGGAAAGCAGGCAATCAATAAATATTTATTGAATGCATATATGAATTAATTAATGTAATGCCTACATGACAGTCATAGTAATATAGATATGAGATTGTTATCACACCTGTAGAGTTGACCCTTGAACAGTGCGGCTTTGAACTACATTTAAACATGTTTGTTCAGCCTGGCTAGTGTGGCTCAGTGGTTGAGTGTTGACCCATGTACCAAGAGGTCACCAGTTTGATTCCTGGTCATGGTACATGCCCAGATTGTGGGCTCAATCCCAGTGGGGCGCATGCAGGAGGTGGCCAGTCAATGTTCTCTCTCATCAGTGTTTCTATATCTCGCTTTCTCTCTTTAAAAAAATCAATAAAGAAAAAAAATTTTTAATGTTTGTTCAAGGATCAACTGTATATGCTTTCTAAGCATTGATCCTCATAGCATCTGCCAAGAAAGTGAGATGGAAATTATCCCCAAGAAACCTAGAGAGAAACTGATACCCTGACTTGTGTCTTATCTATGACCCAGCTGATGGCAAAGCTGGCATTAAGGGCTGGCATGGGCATCCCAGCCTTTGTCTACCACATCACTGCATTTCTTCTACAGACCCAGAGGTCATGGCCACCTGTTAACTGGGCCTGCTGCCTGACCAGCCAGTCTAGACCACCAGATCAATCAGACTGAACATCTTTTGTCCTCATAGTAATTATTTGTACCTTCCTTTAGCAACATAGCCTGCCTTCTAGATAACAGGGAGAAGAACATGTGTTAAGGCACTGAGGCAGAGCTTGGCATGTTCAAGGAACTAAAAGGAGGCCAGCATGGCTGGAGTGGGGGCAGGTAGGAAGGTTCATGTCTGGGTTTTACTCACTTCTGGGTCCCCATGGTGGGCACAGAGCACTGCACACAGAGCACTTGTTATTGGCTCATGGTATTAATAGGGCCCTTGGCCTATATACTTTGCTTTTGCTGGACACAGAGCTCTAACCCTTTCTCTCCTCTTCTTTGACCCCAGTGCCTATACAGAACCATACAAGGTCTGTCCCATCTCGGCAGCAGCCCCCAAGGAGGATCTCACATCGGATGAAGAGCAGGGAAGCTCGGAGGAGGAGGACAGTGCTCCAAGAGACCCCAGCCTCACCCAAAAGGTAGGGTGCCCCGCCCAGGGCAAGGGGCCAGTGGGATGTGGGGGGTTAGAGATGCGAAAGCAGAGAGAGAGTGGCAAAGGACCCATTCCAGTTCCTTTTGAGGTGGAGGGAGCCGATGGCAAACAACCAGCCCTGCACTGGATACGGAGGCTGAGTCACAGAGCAGCTGGTGCTGCGGCATCAAGACACATGGCAGACATGGGGTGCTGTGTTGGTGATGCAAGGGTGACTGCTTCTGCTGATATCCTCTTGGGTCTGAGGAAGTTTGGGCTTCCCAGAATCTTTGTGGATGAAGTGGAATAGAGTTTCCTGATCTGAATCAAGACAGACCTGAAGTCTAATGACCCGGGCACCTGGGCCTCTGTCTCCTCATCTGCAAAGTGGGAAACATGAGGGTGAGATGAGTTAAAGAATCTGAATGAGTTTCCCTAACTGAACACAGAGTTCTAAAAAGAAAGTTGGTTTCTCCATACCCTGCAGTGATGCAGTAGGGGATGGGGCTGAGAGAAGGGTAGCTAGCCCTTTGTCTAGAGGCAGACAGTGACTTGGACCCAAGTCACAGTGGAGACCCAGACCTTGCGGATTATTGGTGCATGGTGATAATTGCAGTTGTCCGGCAGTATCCTAAACACTTCACTTCTAGGAGCCAAGAATTACTTCACATATTTTACATTTGCAGAAACAGAGAGGCAAAGAACTTGCCCAGGGTCACACAGTGGCTATTCACTGTTACCCATGAAACATCACAGGGTGATGAAAGCCAATAACTGAGACCACAGGAGACACCTCTGCTAGAGAGGGGACAGGCTAGGAAGGGTTAGCTGCTTGAAATTTTCTCCACCCCATCTTCTGGACCCCACTCCTGTCTGCCTGTGAGGAGTTGCTGGGGAGGCAGAGGAACACTGCCTCCTGCCTGACAGACTTCCCTCAGGTACCTTGTCCTGTGTCTGTCTCCCATACCTTGTCACCTTCTCCTTCTGATCCTAGAATAGGTGTGTTACACTAATGAAAGACTATTCACATGGAAGCACTCAGCAGGAGTGTCTGGCCTTTACCAAGCATTTTATAAAGGGTCATGTCTTTCATTTTATCTTTATACCCTTGATTTCCTTTAAATATTTATTTCTCTCTCCATACAGTGTTTTCATAAAGTTACCTAGCCAGTGCTGTGGGGAACCCGGAAGGGGGCTTTCCCACCTGGCTGCTCATGCCCTTCCCCTTTCACTCTTGTCCCTGCTTCTCCCTCTCTAGATAGAGTGAGCGCTCTCCTGGCACTAAATGCTTCCACACAGGTTATCTCTTTCACTCTTCACAACAGTTTCAAAGTCAATACCATCATCCCTGTTTGACAGCTGAGATCACAGAGGTTCAGAGAGGTAAAGTAATTTGCCCAAGACCACACTGCTAATGATTGAAGGGATCAGGACTCAAAAACAGGTCTGGCTGGCTTCCAAGCCCAGTGTTTGTTTTTCAGTGCAGTCCTGAGAGCCTTCTCTTACCTCTTCACTCCTCTCTGTCTCCCAGGAAGGAACTACTGACTTTTGGGGGAGTAGGAAGGGGAACCTTGAGTTAACATGCCTGTGCCTGTTTAGAGATGGATTTTCTTTTTCTGGGCATCCCTAGGGTTATGGAACCTGGGAGCAGAAACAGATAGTTGTTTTGGGGAATGTAGTCTGAATCTGAAAGCTGAATTGGATGTGGGCAGCCTGGAAGACTTGAAGGACTGATGGAGCAGTGGGGCCTCCCATGTGCCTCACGGTCCCTCACCTCATGTTGGCTTCCCGCCACAGTCACCGAGTTCTCTGTTAAACCTTCTTCTGGAATCATCCTCATCTCCTTCTCCAGTTGTGTTACCGCTGGCCAGTCACTTTCCATCTCTATAATGAGAGAGTTAATTGTAACTGCTGGGCTATGGGAGGGTCGAATAAGAACACAGATGGGAAAGTACCAGCACATAGTAGGGGTATAATAACTATCTGTTGTTCCCGAGTCTGGGAGGCAGAGGGGGAGTGGGAGAAGAGAGGGTCTGGCCTACCCAGGACACTTGTGAAAGACATGAGGTCCTAGGGCCCTGGACATTGGTGATCAGCTTCCCAGACTTCCGGTCTCTAGGCTGCTCCTTGGGCATCCCCAGGAATAAAGAGCTTGCAGGAGGCAGGGTAGCATAGAGGAGAAGAGGTTCACAACCAGCTTTGCCACTTGCTAGGTGACTGATTTGAGCAACTTCTTAACCATTCTGTTCCTCAATTTCCCCATCTCCAAAATCGGGAAAACAATGATAGTACTGCTCCAGAATACTTATGAGAGTAAATAAATCTGTGGAAACTTAGAACAATGCCTGACACACAGGAAAAGAAGATACAAAGGTCAGAACTTTCGGGTGAGATCGTGGGAAGTAACCTGCCCCAGGTCAAGTAGGACTCAGCAACAATGCCAAGGTCATGAAACCAAGGCAGCTCCTGCCTCAGTCAGGGGCCTCTTATGCATCCTGCTGGGGTCAGGGCCAGTGTGGCCAGCCAGGTGTGGGGCCTACATAAGGAGCCAGGGTTGGGTACAGGAGCATCCTGTCATTCTGAGCACAGAGGGAGAATAGCAGGTCTAGACTACTCATGGCAGATCAGTTCACGCTTGGGAGCCCAGCCTTCTTATCTATCAATGAGGCTGAGCATCTCTGCCCTGCCACCTCCTCATCCTTTTTTGTAAGGCTTTCTTCATGTACCAAAGTCAAAATCAAATCACCCTTTGCCCTGGCCGGTTTGGCTCAGCGGTTAGAGCGTTGGCCTGCGGTCCGGAGAGACCCGGGTTCGGTTCCCGCTAAGGGCACGTACTTCGGTTGCAGTTTGTCCCCGGCCCTGGTTGGTCGTGCGGGTGGCAGCCACTCGATGTGTCCCTTTCACATCGATGTTTCCCTCTCTCTCTCCCTCCCACTCTATCTGTACAAAAAATGGAAAAATATCCTCGGGTGAGGATAAAAAAAAAAAAAAATCAAATCACCTTTAAAAATTGCATTTTCATTTCATCACATGAGGTGTGCTCTACTAGATACTCCCAGTAGCATATGAAATCATTACAGGTGAAAGTTCAAGTCCCTGGACCACTCGCCCCAATCCCTGTGCCCTTACAGAGGTAACTGTAGTACACAGTTTGGTGTGATTCCTTCTAGAACTTTTCCCCTGTATTCACCTACATATTTTGTTATGCATGGAAAATGAGCAGTATTATTTGTGTAAAAATTGAGCAGTATTATTGAGCAGTATTATTTTTTCAGACATTATATCATACTGTAAGAAACCTGGAGTAACTTGGTTGGATTGTTCACAAAATTCTTAGAGATTTTTCCCATATAGATATATAGAGTTCTAAGTTATTTTTTAGTGCTACATAGTAGTCCATTTTATGGACATGCTGTGGTTTATTTCACCATCCCTCTGCTGAGTGTTTCTCATGTGTTTGCATCACCAAACACATTGCAGTGCACTGTTCATACACCTCCTTAGACACGCGTGAAGATTTTCTCTAGGGTAGATCTCAGAAGGGGATCAGTGGATCAAAGAGCAGTCTTTGTACCTGCTGCTAAATTAACCCCTGAGAGGCTGTCCCAGAGCACTCCCTAGCTCCTCCCGATCACTTGGTGTGGAAGAGTTCCCAAGTTGCCAGGCATCAGGGCAGATGTAAAGGGAGATTTTCAGAGTGAGCAATCTTTCGTGGCTTCTTTTTGCTATAGAAGTTTGATGAGGTGGGAGGTGGGGAGAAGGACCATTTATTCCTGGTTCTTTGTCTTCCATGGTGTATGAAAATTCTATTTATCCAAAAGGCAAAGACCTCTCCTCTCTGTGCCTCCATTCCATAGTTGGGAAAATGGGAGCCAGATTTCCATCTCCAACCACCTTATAGGAACAGGCCAACAGAAGGTGTGAATGATCAGTAGAATTGATCCCCACCTCTTCCCTTGCCTCAGGAGTCAGGTTGGTGGTGGTGAGTCCCACCCTCCTTACATTTTAATATGGTTTGTATAAAAATAAAGGGTGGTGAGCTCCACTGTTCCTAGATGTTTTGGGGTAACCGAGTCAGGAGGGGAGGGATTTTTGGAGCAGGATAGGAAGCTGAACCCAGCTGGTCCACCCACATGTGACCTCTTTTCTCTCTCCTCATAGACATACAAAGGGTGTGGGTTGAAGGAAGGAGGGGGCAAAAAAGGAAAAATAAGAACTTAAAAATAGATCTAGCTGTGAAAGGAGACATTCAAAGACTGGCTGGCCTGTTGCTTCTCCCTGACAATGAGCCCAGTTCTCAGACTAAGGGTACTTTTCAAGCTAAATACCAGCTCCCCTGAGACCAGCCCAGGGTTCAGCAGCCCCTCCCTCGCGTAAGACCTGTCGTCACTGACTTTTCCTGACAGGTCCACCCCTGACCCCAGGCAGAAGTTAGTACCCTGCCTTCTGGAACAGATTCTCTTGCCATCACACTCTCCCTGGCTTCCCATTTATGCAAGTCGTCTCCTCCCTGGCTGTACCCAAAGTTAGTCAGCTTACCTTAGGCCTCCTTACTGACCTCATGGCCCTAGGCCTTGTACCTTCGGCCTTGCCCTGACCGTCTGCCTAGGTTAAAGGGTTACCTTGAACCCTGGTTATTTTTATTGGGCCAGTCTCCAGCCTGGGTTAAGTGTCACCATGTGCTTTCTCCACGCCACAGATCTTGGAACCCACCTGTGCAGTTCTGCACATTAGCCCCACTGCAGATGCTACTTCCCCTTATCCCTGTGAGGCCGTTCTAGACCTGGATCAGCAGCCTGTGCTCCTTCCCAGAAAAAACCTCGTCCCCAGTCAAAATGAATTCCCTCCTATCTGCATCTCTTCTCTCCATATCCTCACTCAGTTTCTCCTTTTCCCTCTTCTTCAACAGAAATTAATTTATTTACTAAGTACTCACCGAGCACCTGCTATGTGCCAGGCACCCTTCTGTGGGCCCAACATACAGCAGCCACAAGTCAGACCAGCTGC